TACGTTAGTATGACCCGTCAAATGAACACATTACTGTGAACACTTAGAAGGCTCGGGGCAATACGTGGAGTGTGTTTTGGTACTTTTTTACTACAAACCAATTTATGGGATACAAATAATTCATGATGCTGAATATCAATTAAATGGCACACAATAATTAACTGAATTAATGTTCAATAACTTGTCCAAAAAAGTATTCCACGAGGAAAGCACAGCTAATTTCTGTGTTGGATTAGCTATAGATTGAATACAAAGAATTCTGCATAGCAAACAAGCTACTGAATAAGAGATTTATTAGATGGAATTCGCTTTGTGCATTCCGGCTCAGACCCATGCATATAGGACAATGCATATCGATGATATATGCTGAGCAGAATTTCAGATTAACAACATTTTTATTAGATTTCCTGATTACAAGGCCTGGTCGAGGCTCTTGAAATGCAGCTTACTCTGTGTTACACTCCATAATAAAACCTTAGCGATTCTTTTCTGCTATCTAGCACAAATGAAGGAACGATCGCTTTCGCTGGACAAGAACTTTTCATAAGAGTGTTAGAAATCCATCAAAGGCTTAAATCTCCAGCTCGCGCGCTATGTGCTTTTAATTTGAAAGGACCTTTAATTAACGTTGCAGCTACATTAAATTATGTTTTACATCAACCAATACGTTTTAACTGTCACTTCGCTAGAAGGACAAAAGCATATAATCGTGTAGAGGAAATCTTGTAGTGTCAGAGTCATAAGCTTTCTCTGGAGTTTCTTACTAAAGTGGAGGAAAAAAAATACAAAAATTGCACTCCACATGTGTAACGCGTCAACTCGGTCGATCCATCGCCATATGGAAACGACGACCCTCATCCCCTCATTCTCTTTCCCTGCGCTTTTGCCCAACTCACACTCCAGCCAAAAAACAACGCTCATATATGAGGAACTCAACCTTATTTTCCCTTCTACACTGTAATCAAACGATCTCTTCAAAAAATAAACAGCGTCGTAGTCAGCGAAATTTAAGCTTTCCAATGGTTGCTTATAAGTTCAGGGAAAAGCTCTGACCTGCGAGAGATGCGCGCATGAGGAACACAAAATGTTTTTTTTTGCTAGAGCCTTTCTAGAGACTTTATCGGAAAAACGGCCACGTAGCGCAGTAGCCAGAGAGCAATGTTTTGGAAGATTACTAAAAGTGCAATGGAAAGTTTTTGTCCAACAAAAAGGGTCGTTTGTTCATTTATTGCCAGATTACAGAAAAGAAGTGCCTTAGCAGATAACATTGAACCCCCTCCCCAAATTTATTACCGATATACTGATACTTCACCCACCAAGCCTTCACGAAGATAAATTTCTTCAAACAAGATGGCCTATAAAAATCACTGACTAACTTCCCAACGTTATCAAGACGACAAAATCCACATCCACTGACTTACATAGTTTAGTATTTCAGACTACGGTGTTCAATCAATTCGATTCTTAAATATACTGTAAACTTCTCTTCGCATTTCGGACATACTACTGACATCGTGGCATCATAGCAACAGCCAAAATAATTAAATTCACTTTTCAACCTATTTGAAATAGTGCAAGTGTTAGATAAATCTCATAATTTGAGGGGAGATAAATCCTAAAACGCTTCAAAATGCAAGTCATTGATCGACCTCAAACGCGCGCGCCATAAATTCGACTTCACCAAGCTTTCTAGAGATGGCTGAATGTATATGTTGCCTACACAATGACATGCTTGGCCTAGTGTCGCATCAAGTCAGCGTTTATCCTTCCAGACAACCTGGAATAGAAAAATGAACTAACAACTCTATCTTCATCGCACGACACATATAATCATCGCGCTACACTCAACTCTGAGAAACGATACTCATAAGAAAAACGTGACGAAGTGAATTAAACGAAATTTGACATTTTCAGGAACACGTAATATTTTCGAATAATCCAGAAAGAAGTGATGAAAAAAACGATTTAAGTCACTATTATTGCAGCATTTGAGGATGTTTTCTTGCTATGGCGAACATAGGCCCGAAAAAGATAGTTTTGTTGTTCCCAAATGAAAACTAAACAATCGCTGTTTAGACATCAAACACCACCATTAGTTAGTTTGCGAGCCTCCAAATAAGACACATTGAAAAAGATATACACGTACATATATAGATTATAAGTATATATGTACATGTATATATATATATATGTGTGTAATATCACTAAGCATATAGATATGTATATATATTGTTTATAAATGATATATATATATATATATATGTTGCTCCACTTAAAGACTAGTAAACTAATTAACTGTGGGCTTTTGAAGTCCAATCAGCGACTGTTTAATTCTCATTTGTAATCAACAAAACTATCTTTTTGCGGGCATTAGTTCGCCATAATAAGAGCGACATCCTCATGTGTTGCAGTAATAGTGACTCAAATCGTTTTTTCATAAGTCCTTTCTGGATTATTCGGAAATAATAAAGCATAACCGAAAACTCCACGATTTATTTGATTCATTTCGTCCCGCTTTTTTACGAATATCGTTGCTCAAAGATGAGCATAGTGCAGTGATTAGATACGTTGTGCAATACAGACAGAGTTGTTATTTGTTCCCGTTCCCCATGTTGTCTGGGAAGATAAACGCTGACTATACGGCATTAGGCAGCAAATCATTGCGTGGCAACCAATGCACAATCATTGACCTCTAGCATGTTTCATGAAGTCGAATTCATGGAGCATGTGTTTAGGGTTGATTAATGGCCACAATTCTGAGCTGTTATAGGCTTTATCGCCCTCTAACATGAAATTTGCCTAACACTTCGATTTGTATGCAAACCTGGCTATATTTGCTTTTAGATGCAACAGTTGTGGGAACGAATTCGCTTGCTGCTCATGTACGCATAACGCTTACGAGAAAATGCCAGTGAAACGGCGCGCAGGACTATGGAGCCTTCTGTGGAAGACCCAATAGAAAGTGATCCTCCAGACCGCTCTCTCCAGCTTTGAACTTCGTGAACCACTTACTAGCCGTCCTTTCTGCAACCGTATCACCACCAAAAACTCCATTAATCATGCACGCCGTTACACTAGAATTTCATTCGTACATCATTAGCAAGAGACTTTGTTTCCAAGACAGCTTCATCTTGAAGTAAGTATAGGCAATGTTGGATAACACAATGTTCGCAAAAAATGCACAATTGAATGATACCAAAATTATAAAATTTCAACTACTTCGGGTCAATAAATTAGGTGTTTATTTCTATAGTGCCAAAACTTATGGAACGACGCGATTATATATATATATATATATATAATTATATATGCATATATATATACTATATATTTATACTATAATTGGATTCAAAGGGAATTCAATTCAATCACCATTCGTGGCCTCCGTTTGGAATGAGAAGCCCTCAAATAACAAAGAATCCATATGCAAATCACAAGCACTTCGCGGATTATCGATGCAAAGTGAGGATCCTAATAGAACTAAGAGTTTCGTTCAACGCAATGTGTGATGACAGCTTCCATGAATTCTAGCTTAAAATCATATATTATGACGGGTTAGCCCGCTCTTATAACATTGTACTTCGATACGTTCGCGGGCATAATGCGATTAATTGGCTCGGTAGTGTGTTTACGCGACAAATTGTATTATGCACGGCCTCTCCCTCAACAGCCTCTAGTCATTTGTTCAGAAAGTGTTCACATAAAGGGCAAATGAGTGGGCGTAACGAAGCTCAACAAATATGTCACCAGTATTCCTAAGGATTGCCTGAAAAGTCAGTAATAAAAATCCCTCTGGGATGAATCCAGAAGCTGTAAATAGAAAGTTGCTATGGATCCTCACATTCGCCGCAAAATTCAGCCATCAGAGTCCTTCACCCATAGTAGTGGTTGGACAAATCATCGGCGTTAAGCTTTCGGTACGTTTTATAACAGTGTCACAAATCTTCTATAAGATCATCGTTATCTGACCACATCATCTGAACGTTTATTATACTTGATTTTGATAAATACCGCTTATGATATTACCAATGATCTCTAATGTTTATTTTAAGGCTTTCGTGAGGTTTGTTATGACACTTATGTAGTGCAAAACACGTGTTTCGGCCTTTTAGCCTCATTAGCTATCTGTTCAGCCAGTTACACCGTGTGAACGTTTGCTATACTATAGGAAGTGACTAAACTGAAAAGCATCGTGCAACTGATGAGGCTGAAAGACCGAAAAACAGGTGTCTTGCGCTGTACAAACGCCATACGGACCTCATAGAAAACTTGAAATTTGCCGTCAGGATGTACTAACTTTGAGCGAGGTCTCAAAGTAGGCGATTGGAAATTATTGTTACACATGGTCTCCAATATTCTTCGTTTAAGTAATTAAACTGCTTTTACCACTTTGAATAAGGAATATGCTGAAAAAGAACAGCGATCTGAAAGAGCACGTCTTCCTGTTTATGAACAGAGTTCAGCTCAGCTTGACAAATTGACAGAAGTCAGTGATTGATTGGGATTGTTGCCAAGTTGTTGTCATACTTCATCAAAGTCGTTAGTACTCTGCATTACACTAAAGAACCTAAATTTTCCAAAAAAAAAACCAAAGAAATCAGACTCTCCTTCATATAATGATAGGAAAATATCATGAATTAATTAAGAAGACTGAAAACAGAGCACACACATCAAGTATTGACGGGCGTCATACAAAGTCCTCATGGTGCGTTACATTACATTTACATGAATGAACCGAAGTATGATATCTAACGAACATACGACAATCAAGAACGAAGTATTATGACAAAAAATAGATGGCATCGAAGAAACACGTAAAGGAAGACGAAGAGATAACCCTAAAGTTGTAGCAATGCATTTACTGCTAAGGCATCCTAATAAATCGATAGAAAAGGAACTCAATAACGTAGAGTGGTGCAAAAACATTTGCTTCAGCTGAGATTCGAACCCATATTTCACCCCATCCGCGTTGTAGCGTAGAAATAGTGGTGTTAAAACGAGCGTCGGTAGTGCAACGGTTCAGCACGCGCCCCCAGATAGGGTGAAATCCGTGTTCGAATCCCAGCTGACGCAAGTGCTTTTGCACACCACTCTTTATTATTGCGTTTATTGTAACATCATACTGCCGCAATAGGCGGTCAAATAAAACGAATTCTGATTGAGGAAAAGAATTGACAGAAAGAAGTTATAAGCAAAAAAAAATTCTGGAAGTAATTCCATATAGAATATATATTAAATGAAGTTTGATTACGGTAACAAGTAAGAACATAGTTGGCTGAGATGATGGTTCTGTAGAGAATATGTTTATAGCTGCTTTAACTGCATTTAGCCGGAAATAATTTGCGGATTACAGGAGCGAGTAGTTGGAGACGTCATCATTTTTCAAAGCATGCCACCACAGCCATTACTGCTCATAATTTTAACATAGACATGAACATCGCTGATTTCACGGAGACTGCATAAACAGCAAAACTCGTTCGTAATGCAAATCAAGGCCATGTCGACTTTTTCGACCTTAAACAAGGAATCTTCAGTAGCTGGTGTAGGCGTGGGGTTAGGTACATCACTAACTCATAAAAATGGCTTTTTGTTTGTATCCATCCGCATGTGATAAGAAGGATGAAGAATAGAGCTCTTGTCGTTGATCGATTCCTGAGGGATGAGCCATGCATTCGTCTTCAATTTTTGACTTCGTTTGAAGTACTGAATGCATATCTGGCCTTTACAATTACAATGACTCGCAGTGGCCTCCCGCTGTATCGAGTCAGTGCTGCTTATCCTCTCAGACAAATCTGAGATCCATCTGGCACAATTTTACCGTCCCCGGAGGGACGGACGACTTAGTGAGCCATGAGCGCGAGAACGAACCATTGACTTCGTGTGTGAAGCAGAACACCTCTAACCACTGCGCCAAGGCGCTCCTCTAAAGGTAGTACGGGCTACTATTTCCCACGATTCACTATAGTTCACCTGCCAAACACAAGCTATCGATGGAGTGCAAGAAGTGCCTAAGTAAGTTCTGTGTAGCAAAACATACTACTAGAAAGGTGTGCAGACACTTCAACTCTGCAGGTGTGGCATGTATTCCTTCCGCAATGCCTATGACGAATGATGAAACTCTGCTTGGGTGACTATGAATTAGCTTTGTTCTGTCTAATGTAAAACTCTGATCGGCACTATTTCGAGATACAACCTCCGACTACTAGCGACAGTGTTCACAAAAGAAGAGGACGAGATGAAAGAAAGACGTACAGACAAAAAAAAAAACGACCAATAAAGATATCGCAAACTATGTGGCGTTAAGAAAGTGAGTTGTCCCTTCGATATTTTCTAATTACCATTCGTCTATTCGAAAAGTGCCGTTTTCTTTCGAAGAACCCGATCGAAAAAACATTACCGATTAGATTCTACTCAGCGACATTTTCTTGCATTTTGATTCTCTTGAACACATAATCTTTCATATATTTTACCTGCTTTTAATTTTAGATTTTCGAGATGAAGAAAAGATCCAATAGAATATAAACAGCTATTTTATTGCTCACAAAAACTCCACTACTATTGCTTTTTGAAAGTTCATTATGATCGTAAGTTAATTTTTCTCAGAAATGAAAAGAAAATGAAAGAGAAGAATTTTTATAGTCTGCAGCTCAGAGAGATTCACTGCTAAATAAAAAAAATTGTGGAAATTGAATTTAAATGAGACTAGATAAGATTAGACAATTAGGAAATCAAAAAGTGTCTTATACATGGTGATTTTTCATTTCCGTCTCGTCTTTAAAAAACAGAAATTAATTAATGACACTTTCTGCTTGCAGATGTTTTTAAGACACGAGAGAATTTAAAATGAGAACGTCGTGGAATTTTAAATCCTCCAGTCAGTGGTAAGAGGAAATTCCTAGATTACTGCTCAAATGAGAACTATAGCCTGATATTTTCCATTCAGACTCGTCAAAATCATGTAGAAGTGTATAACTTCGATTAGAAAGAAACAATAAGAATTTGCTTTGCCTCCACATCATCCACCGTACTTCGTACACGGCAAACAAGTTTATTCGATAATATGTGAAAAAAATTGCTTGGTTTGGACAGAGAATAAAGATAGTGAAGAAAGCTTTCTAATTTGATCATTTCTTTGAGAAAATGCTATGAAGATTCCCGGTAAGTGTCATTGTGCCTGCATAATGATTGAAAGCGTGTTGGGGCTGTACAATGACTTGTGGCTAAATACTGAATGCGTTAGTTCGATTTTCTAAAAGGCTCACCTTCATCGCAATAACTCGATACCAAACTACTGGTCTATTGTCTATTTTCGTTATACCGAATACAATACTATTTTTAAACCGCATCGATTTCTTCACCTCTCAGGCGGAATGAACAAAATGAATAGATCGCCAGGAAATTGGGAATGCGATAGTTATTACAAATGAAGAGGAATTTCGCATAGAATCATTTTGAGCCAGATTTCTCAAAAATTTGCCTTATCCAAGCACAGTATGGCTAGGTGCGCTGCGATCGTGGCAAGTTGAAGAAAGCGACATCTTAGTCTCATTGAGTTGTATCATCTACCTTGTCACCGTAAAATTTCAAGCTAGAGAATAGATTGCTTAATAATTAAACAATGAAACAAAGGCCACATGGCCCAATCAGTTACTTGATACCCTTTCACTTTGCACTCATTTAATGACTATATAAATACTAGCAAATAATCATAAATTTCTTCCAAAACAAATTTGAGACATGATGTCATGATCCAAGGAAAAAAGCCTCGCTCATGTCAGCCGAGATGACGTGAAACTAAGCTGACATTACCTGCAGTTTGTTATAAAATGTCATTTTCGTTCTCCATAACTGAATTTGTTAATTTCGTTGGTCGTTGTGTTTTTTAGATCCTATATTACACATTAGGAAATCATTCGGATTTTTATATGATTTGACATTTCTCAAAAACATACAGGTCCAATTTTAGATACCGTGATTTCGTAATCTAAGAACAAAGAACGCTTTTTACAGAAATTCTTTGTCATGTATACTTTTCGGGTCGAGGTATTGCACAGCTTCAGTGAACGGCACCTACTAATTTTCTTGCTGTTCTCACAAGAAACGGCAGACGAATCCCGCTGAGTGAGGGAATTATTCCGCTGAAGCTGTTGTGAATAGAATAAAAAAATTATGTGGACTTGGTTAGCATTGTCTTCATGCACCTACCCAAATCCAACCTAAATCATAAAGACAAAATGATACAACTTCACATTGTATAGCCGATCAATAAATCATTAACATTTCATTGCTATCAGTTGAAGAACTTATTTGTCGCTTCTTCAAAAAATGGATAAAAATGCATGAGCAAAGATATATATATCATAATATCATAATATTATACATTTTTTTGCAACAAAAAGAACAGAAAAGACTGCACGCGTGAACCCCCAACTGCGGTTTCGACCTAGTTTTCGTATTAATTATTTTTATGATATTCAAAGTAACTCATTCGAAATAGTAGATTACAGAAGTTGTGCCCTTTTCGACATCAACGAATAATTTATCAAAGACATTCAAGCGGTTTTTCCAGCTATTCTTCTTCCTTCTAATCCTGCATAGTAAATTCTAATGAGCTTAAATTACGACTTCGAAGAACTGGATAGAGTTACAGTAGTAATGTAACGATAAACAATCTCAATTCTTCTAAATCATCTAGATTAAGCAGTTGTTCTTCGACTTCATTTTATCATCACCAAAAAACACACATTATTCTGGAGAAAGTGCAAGAAAAATTCTTTGATTATTAAATGCTTGATTTTTGAAGAGCTACATGTCGTAATCATCCTAGAATCTAATTAGTACATAATAAAAAAAATGTGGAGAGATGCGGAGGCGATGGCCGTGGTTTATGATGTGCACTAGGAGGAAGCAACGTACTTGTTCAACACTCTTCCCAACACTCTCTCGCGATCACCCAGAAATACCCTAGTCTGGTTATTCCAAGACTGCAAGAAGACTCGCGCAACCAGTATTCTTCATTTACGAAAAAAAACTGAACCCATAAGCACAGTCAAAACAAAACGCACGATTACGAGGATTTGGGATAGTGCGAGGAAATAAATCGAGTGCTGGAAATACTAAGATTCGCAGGATAAAATGTCATTACGGGTTACATAAGAAATTCAATAAATCAAGACGGGAGGTCATTTTAAAGGAGTTCTGTCACACTTTCAACACTTCATTATCTTAATGCTAGATTGTTCCCTCCACAATTTTTTTTCTACTCTACATTTCTCTGCATTCTGAAATTTTCTTGGAAATGAAGTTTTTCTTCGATTCAAAGCTTAGTAAAAGAAGATTGCTCTTCAGCAGTTAAATCTCTTTTAGTTGTTATAAAGAATATTTTAGTAGTCAGCAAGAAGTGATAGCTTTCACCGGTTGAAAAAACTGCAGTAACCGTCGTTCTCTTTCCAAGAATTCACAAACAAAGCCAATTTTCTGTCAACAGACGATTAATTATTGCTCATTTCAGACTCAAGAGGTCAACTTCACAGAGATTCATGAAACTTTATCCTAGAGTAAATATGATTTTATTAGCACTTTATTTGTTCCGTCATCACAGTACTTTTTTTCTCTGTGCGGATCTCATATTTCTAGCATTCAATTAGTTTTTTTCGTCTTCTTCTTTGAACAGCGCAGAATAATGGTTGAGCGAGTCTCCTTGCAATCTCGAGGACAGCCCTGTGTGGCGCTCCATAGAACGTTGTTGTTGACTGCCGGAGAGGAGTGGGGAGGGGGAGGGGGTGGTTTGGAGCTCGCCTCCGCGCCCGCCGTGACCAACAACATAGGCACTCCGCCGCGGCACCTCCTAGTATAAGCAAGGTGACTCCTAATACGATTTTTATGGTGCATTATTTTAAATTCAAAGATATTTAGAGCAGAAACTTCAGAAATCGAAATTTCTAAATACTTGGAAGAACCAAACTTGCACGCTTACGAGGCCTTGGGTACATCTATCGTTTTGGATGAAATGCCAGTGGTTAACTCCTTTTCACACGGCAGTCGACTGATCTTCGGAGATGGTGCGCGATTTT